GTCGTAATCATTGTCCTGGGTATGCTAAATACTCTTTGAATTGTTTTCTACAAACATAATTGTACGTGAGAAAAAATAATGATTTTACTGGTTGCTTTTTTCATGTTGACTAGCTGCAACAATACTCTTATGGATTCTTTACTTGATCAGAAGGTAATATACATTCTTTTACTTTCACTCAGTCTCCCACTTTGAAATAAATAAATATTTGACAAATATCAAGATGAAGTTTGCATGCAGTCAGCTATTTGATAAACTTGTGTTCTTTCCTTTCTCAAATTATCAGGCCCTTTTTTGTCAATAGTTCTTATTTTTCGTTAGATTTGTTTCTTGAGACACGCAAAACAATCGACGTACGATCGACTGCAATTTACAACATTACCTCTACACATTCAAAGTAAGAAACCAAAGAAACTTGCAAAGTGAGATATTCAAACGATATTCTTTTTTCTGTTGTTCGAAAAGTTCGTAAAGTTAAAACATGTTGATATCACCAAATGAGATATAATCATGCTAGGATTGTAGATCATAGTCAATTTAGTATTTTCATGTGGTGTGGGTGTGGGGTGTGGGTGTGGGTGTGGGTGTGGGTGTGGGTGTGGGTGTGGGTGTGGTGTGGGTGTGGGTGTGTGTGAGTGAAGGAAAGACAAAAAAACACCCACACCCACATCCACACCCACATCCACACCCACACCCACACGCACACCCACACCCACACGCACACGCACACCCACACCCACACCCACACCCACACCCACATCCACACCCTCAGAACGATTATCTAGTTTTTGTAAAAACTGCTCAATCGAAAGGATCCTATTCATTTCACTAGTGACTGTTTCTGGTTTGCATGAGTTTTCTCGAGGACTGATGTTGCTGTACGACTTATAAAATGCAAGCCTGCAGAAATATGAAAATCTTCCGAGGAAAGTTCAAAAATGGAAAGAATATAGTGTTTTGAAAATTCTATGGAATTTGTTTGATTATTAAACTGGTGATATGACCATTGATTTCCTTCGTTATTTAGCTACTAGTAGAAAATTTTACTCATTATTTATTTTATGAATATAATCTAAAACTTGATAATATTGGAAATAGGTACTCCAGTTCACTGAAGTCGGTTTCGTTCAAAATTCTCCGTAAGATACCAACCCAGTATCATCCAAAGACTATTCAGCATATTCAAAGTATCCCACACACGCATAAGTATCAGCAAACAAGATAAAAACATGTTCCTACAGTATCTACCCATTGGTGAAGGTTGAGTTGTAGCTGTTGTCACGTTTTTTGTTGATGGATTAGTTGATGTCAACCAGAATGGAATAATCACAGCTAAAATTAAACCACCCATGAGAACACTCAGTAGTAAACTTATAAGACAAGTTGACATCGACGAAGAGTTCCTTAATTAATGTATTAGAAAATGATATCTAAAGAGAATGTCATCGTATCTTTTGTTGAAATCAAATATTGTACATACCTGAATGTTTTAGCGTGAGTTGATTTATTATCTTCAACCTGATCAAGACATGCAATTTTGTTCGTGACAGAATTTCTATGATGATTTTTGCCAACTTTATCTTAATGTTGTGAAATACTATGACTTCCAGTTGACCACATACTTCATTGTGGATTGATTGAATCCCAGCTCGATATGTTTGTTCAAGTTATTTCACTATTAGTTGATTTTTTTTGTAATTTAGGCCCTTGCTATTTATTATTCGCTGGAATAATAATGACCACGAGGGTAATGCCGAACAAAATTAATAAAAAATAATCTCAATTCGTTGCTTTTTTTCCGGAGAAGAAAGAAGAGAGAGTAGCGCATTCATTCTATTATGTATTTTTCTGATCAATCCTTGTAACCAAAATTCAATTAACAATGAGAACGAAATAATGACACTTGTACGTTGCTGATAATGTCAGATTTTTTACATTAAATATAAATTCTGGAAAAAAAGCAAACAGTAGTTCATAGGTTTCCATGCATTGCTGTCACTTCAAATTATCCGTAGGAGAGCATTTAAACGCAATGTTGGACTATCTTGGGTGTGGGTGGGTGTGGGTGTGGCTCCTTTCTTATCCGACATGGGTGTGGATGTGGGTGTGAACGTGGATGCAGGTATACCCTAAGTCAAAACCCACACTCACACCCACACCCACACACACCCACCCACACCCACGCCCAGACCCACGCCCATCCACACTCCACACCCAACACCCTCCCATACACACGCCCACACTCGCCCACACAGACACCCACATCTACACCCACCCCGCAATATTTTCCTGTCAGTTTCAGAGAAAAGTACCATATTCAGACTTCGTAGAAATCCGTTATTCACGAAACGTTCTCGTAACATCTGTTGCCGGACATCCTTGCCATACTGATCCCTGATCTACTCTTTCACCACTCACGACTAATGTATGTTCCAACAACGTTGAATCATCCTCCATACTTGCGCCAGACATTAGACGACTTTGTGATCGTAGGACACAGCGGTTACCAATAACCAAGGAGTTTAAAGTAAATTGCCCTTTTGTATTTAGATGACAAATTATTGATGCATCATCAATACAACAATCATCACCTATTGTCACTAAGTCGGGTTCACTCATCATCGGATCAGCACCACTTGGATAGAGACAGACATTACGACCAATACGACAGCCAAGACAACGATAATAAACACAGAGATAGAACGAGCCGTTGAATAATTGTAAGACAGTCCGTTTGAGACGTTGAATTTCAATGAATAACTGCCATCGTTGACAATAAGACGACTTATCCCAATTATATTTGCCTGTCTGACGTCGCCCAAATAGCAACCATTTGAACAGAATTTCAATGGACATTGTCAACAATACAATTGCTGTGTAGAAGAACTGAAGAAAGACGAAAAATAAAAAGAATGTATATGCACAGATTTGAACAGTTGTTTTCAGCGACGTCTCTGATTCGTGTCTAAATACAAGGGCAATTAGTTGAAAGCTGGCGATGATCGGTGTGGTCCAGAGAATCGATTGAAAAATATTCAGGCACGTATTATAGATAACATGTAACCCCAGTGGTATAACCCAATAGCCAGTGTCTTCACCTTCGTAGAATGCTCTACCAAATGGTGTTATTGTTTCTGTTTTCAATGCTGCCTTTCGTCCTGCACCATGATGCCACAGTACTGCGTCGCCTTGCCTAGATCCAAGCCATATTGAGCCAGCTGGATATGTCGAGTTCTCTTTACACAGACTGCCACTACCCATAATTGTATTTTCTTCAACAATAACACCAGGCAAGAGGACACATCGATCAGCAATCATCGTACCACTTTTAATAGTAATTCTAGCACTGTGTGTTTTTTCATCATTTGAGCATCGAAGATAACAACGTGAACCGAAAACAACATCATCACCAACAGTTAGAAGATCGTATTCATAAAACTGCAAACCAGATCCAGGCCAATAGATACGTTTTCCAATACGGGCACCAAGAAGACGAAAGACAACACTAATCAGTTCATAGTGCGTACCTACTAAACGCGAGAAACCATTGAGGTCACCACCAGGTAACAGCTTTTGCATTAACCAATGTCGTAGCAAATGAATTTGTCGTTTAATATTACTCCTATAGGTGCTTTTTTGTTCTTCTTGTTCATGTTCTCTAAATTTACCAATAATTAATCGTTTGACAAGAATACAGCAGACTATGTAGATATATGGACTTATAGTATCACGGGCTATTAGTGCCACTAAATGAAATGCTACACGTTTTCCATGGGCAAAATAGTAAATAATCGACATAATAGAATGTAATCCCATAGAATGAGAAGATCGATCAGTTAAAAGAGGGAGCAAAGCAATCCATGGAATGTATGACAGCATTGTTACAAGTATTACTACAGGCCAGCCGAGCAGAAGTTGGAAGACAATGTTAAAAATTGTTGGTGAAGATGGTAGTGGTTCTTGTTCAGTGGCAGAAGAAGTACTTATTTTGTATGATGATGACAGTGGTCCAATTCTTGTACCATCTGGAATAGTGGCACCCGGAGAGAGTCGTGCGTTTAATCCAATTGAACAGTTATTATCGATTTGAATCGGCGCTAGTATCATATGACCGGTACTAAGAGTAAATGGACTAACTACGCATCGTTTAATTTCAACATTCGATTTAATTGTAACAAGGTCGAATTCCTTGATTTTCGCATCTGAGTCGATTGTCACGTTTTTACCAATCTTAGCACCCATTAGTTTTAGAAAAATGATATACAGTGTACTATCCAATTCAAATATGCCAAAGCCAAAGGTTCGAATGGTTTGATCAACAAACCACCATCGAAGATAGTATTGTTCCCAGAGTGGATACTGTCCATGTCGATATTTTCCAATGACAAGCCATTTCACTAACAAACTAGTCGCAGGAAACACAATCGAATCCGATATCAGTCGTGATAAAAGTATAGCAAATACTAACTGAAGAACCTGTTCCCACGGCTCGCTTACTTTCCAATGTTCACTTAGCACCATTAGAATAATAATAAATAAATAGCAGAGCACAGCAATACGAAGGGGTGCCAATAAAATTAGTGACAGTAACTGAACTAGAAGCGCAATAGAACATGTCTGGGATTTCAATTTTACAGTAATAGACGATTCATAGTCATCAGTACCAGTTACACCGTTACGAGGATCTTTTCCAGTGCCATCTAAAGCAAAATTCTATTTTCTTGCTGTTTTCTATATTTTAAACACTGAAGTCAGCAAAAGCTGCTGAGTATCAAAAATTTACTTACTCTGTTGCTGCTGTTGATCAAACAACGTTGTAACTAGATTTGGATTTTGTTTCTCAATTAAAGTCCGGAGCGATCGTATTGTTCTGTGCGAATAAACTGACATTACTGGTAACATTACACCGAATGCTTGACGAATTCTATTAATTAGAGTTCCAGCTTTCAGTGAATTACCACCGACTTGAAAAAAGTCCGTTTCTGAATTCAATGTAGCCTTTGTATAGTCTTCTAAATTGAAGATCTCGGAAAATATTTTGATTAAGACAAAATCTACTGGATTTTGCTGCTTTTGCTCTTGTTCTATTGTTGTATTGACTGTTGGAAGCAAATCTAGTAGAATATTTTTTTCATTTTCTCTTGGAATTTCTTCTAAAATAATTATGTCCTTTGGACGAAGATAATTATGTAAACGGGTATCTAAATATTCCCAGATCGCATCTTTATCCAATGGTTCACTAATTACAACATAAGCAACTGAATTTACTAATTCAGTGTTAACAATTAGTGGATGTGAATTAAAAACGCTGCAAATCTGTTCCTTATCAAATGATACGAGTTGGCAAGGGATTAAAGAATTGTTGGATGAAGTCCGTGGTGGTGCCATTGCTTCATAGGCACGACTGCAGATTAAGTCTGAGTCTTTCAATTGCTTTAGTTGCAGGCGTTGTGCCAGACCAATCCGTAATGGTTTATTCGTTTGACTCTTTGGTAGATCATTCATATAGACAATTAGTTGTGGCCATTTTGATGGATGTAATGAATTGGATAGAAATTTTCGGAGCTCAGTAAGACCAATACGCGATGCAGGATTAGATGGAACTAGAACAAGACCGATAGTTTCCTGTAGAATTTCGTGTTCGACCGAGAATGCCAACGCCTGACGAACACGAGGATTTTTGACAACAGCTTCTTCAATTTCGTACGGCGATATGATTTCACCACCGGAATTTATTACTTCTTTTGTACGTCCAGTGACATAGAGGAATTTATTCTCGTCTAAATAACCCATGTCACCGGTATCAAACCATCCATCTGCTGTGAACGTTAAAGTTGATGGTATATTCTCATAGCCATCGAATAATGGTGGACCACGAACAAAAATGCGTCCGACTTTACTTGACTTAGTTAAGTGTTGTCCATTATCGTCAAATATCTGTATCTCAGGGCCACAGATAATACCCGAAGTACCAGGTCGATCCAACTGATAGTCAATGGGTGGACATGAAATGGGCATACATTCAGTCATACCGTAACATGGAAGAACAACAGTACCGAATGTCTGATGTAGTTGTTGTGCTAACGATGGAAGAAGACCACCAGCTGCATTACAAATCATACGTAGATGGGTTTTATTTTTGTTTTCAGATACTTGTCTACTCTTTTTGTGTACTCAAAAAGTGAGTACACTCTAGAATCGGTCAGTATGTCCGGCCGTCCGTCCGGCCGGCCGTTTACACGATAACTTTCGAAAGGAGAGTCCGATCACGATGAAATTTTCT